CAGTTTTGGGCCCCACACTACAAGAAGGATGTGGAAAATTGGAAAGAGTCCAGCGGAGGGCAACAAAATGATTAGGGGTCTGGAGCACATGACTTATGAGGAGAGGCTGAGGGAACTGGGATTGTTTAGTCTCCAGAAGAGAAGAATGAGGGGGGATTTGATAGCAGCCTTCAACTACCTGAAGGGGAGTTCCAAAGAGGATGGAGCTCGGCTGTTCTCAGTGGTGGCAGATGACAGAACAAGGAGCAATGGTCTCAAGTTGCAGTGGGGGAGGTCCAGGCTGGATATTAGGAAACACTATTTCACTAGGAGGGTGGTGAAGCACTGGAATGCGTTACCTAGGGAGATGGTGGAGTCTCCTTCCTTGGAGGTTTTTAAGGCCCGACTTGACAAAGCCCCGGCTAGGATGATTTAGTTGGGAATTGGTCCTGCTTTGAGCAGGGGGTTGGACTAGATGACCTCTTGAGGTCCCTTCCAACCCTGATATTCTATGATATTCTATGATCGAACACCTGCAAGGCTCGCACGATCTAAACCCTGGGGCCCAGAGCATGCCCCGGCCCGAACGCTAACTAACTAAGCTGAAACTTTATTGAACTAATACACACAGGTACTACTAACAACGAAACGAGTTCTGGTACGAGCTGCAGCAAAGCTGGAGCAAGTAGTTCCGATGCACCGCCACTGGCGGCAAGAAGGAACTGAGGGTGGGGGGAGCACACAGCTCCCCTTATAGTGCGCTATAGAGGCGCCACTCCAGGGGTCACAGCAGCGCTCCCCCTATGGGTACTGCTGAGGGAAAAACTTCCGGCACCGGTGCACGTGGCGAGCATGCACACCTACTATGGAATACACATGAGCAAGCACTCGAAGAAGAAACCAAAGGAATGGAGCCAAGACATTCTACGCATAACTATGGTCGTAGCCATGGCCCTGCAAGAGGTATCTGCTGCATCTACCCCCGACTAGAGGGTTATTCTGGCTATCAGCTTCCCTTCCTCAATAAGGGCCTGAAAGTGAGCCCAATCGTGTTGTGGCAGGCTATCAGTAAATTCCTGGAACTTGCTGTAATTCAGGAAGTCGCACTTGACTAGTAATGCCTGAGAGTTCACAATACAGAATTGAAGGCTGGCTAAGGAAAACACCTTGCGTCCCAAAAGGACCAAATGTTTGCCCTCCTTATCAGGCGTAGATTGAAGGTGCTGTTGCTTGGCTTGTGCAGTCGTTGCCTGGACAACTAGGGTGTTTGGAGGAGAATGTAAAAAATAAAAAATAAAGGGGGGGACCCCTTAGCAAGAACGTAATGCTTTTTGGCCCCTCTGGGGTAGCCATACATGTGGGAGAGGTGTGCCACATGGTCCTGGCAGGCTCCAGAATAGCTTCAGTAATAGGAAGTGCAATTGTGGCTGGTCCCGGGGTCCTAGATTTCTTCCAGCGGAAACTGGAGTTCCCTTGAAAATCTCTGCAACAGTTCCTTGAAATTGCCTGAAGTCATCCAGAGGTGAAGAGGATGCTGCAGTCACTGCTTCATCTGGAGACGAAGAGGGAAAACTTACCAATTCTTGCAGCACTGCTGGGACCAGACTGAAGTGTTCCTCCTCTACCAACAGATCTAAGAGTCTGCTAGAAGGAGCCTTTAAGCAGGAGGCAGGTAAAATGTTCTGTGGACCAGGCTGGTTCCAGGGGGGAGGGTATTGGGACCAGGTCCCCAGTATATCCAATAGGCCAGATCTGAGGAAGGTTGTGGTGGCCCCCACGGTACCAATGGCTCTGAGACCACTGAAATGGTGGATGCTGCCATGGATGTAGCAGTCTCTGTGAAGACACGTAGGGGTGATAGGACATAGCTGGTTCCTCTCCTGGTTCCGATTCTTCAGAGGAGGAGAAGGCAGACTGGTTCAAATAGTGGTACCGTCAGAACCAGCGGAGGGTGTAGACCATCGGAGCAGATGGTGAGAGGACCTGTACTGGGGACATATCCTGAGGTGGAGAAATCCTCTCTCTAAAGGTGGAAGGGCTGGCTGGCTGGGGTGACTTTGGGTCCGGCAAGGCGAACATGTCCTGGGGTTCAGGTACAATTCCACATCTCCCCGGTGTCACAGGCACCCTTTCCCTGGGCTCGTATCAGTGCCGGTGGCATGGACTTTCCCAGAACAGGAGGATTCCATGTCTTGTGGAGGGTTTGTGATGATGGTACTGTTGGACAGGTGCTTGGAAGTACCAGATTCCATTGCTTGTGGAACTTCTTCTCATGCCTATGGGACTTAGTGAGAGCTCCATCCCCATGGCTCGAACTCATGGAAGGAGCGTCCACTTTCTTTGGCTTTGAGGAAGACTTAGTACCATGCGTATGGGTATGCTTCCTTACCTCCCAGTTAGACCCCGCCACAGGGTTTGTGGGGGTGGTTCTGCCGGTACTGGCTTTGGATGTGGTAATGGGAGGTGCGCGTTCCTCGCTGATTCAGGCTGATACACAGGGGGAGTTTCTCTGCCTGGATCCGACTGAGGCCTCATGGCAAGCTCCATGTGGTGCTTTTGGAAGCGGAGGATCTGGTCTTTTTTGGGGTGGCTGGGAAAGGATTGGCAAATACTGCACCTGGATGTGATGTGAGCTTCCCCCAAGCGGTAGAGACAGTATTGGGTTCATCACTGATGGAGAAGAAGCACGTGCAGGAGGTGCAGAGTTTGAAGCCCAGAATCCTGGGCATAGTCCAGTACCTGCACACAGGTACTGGGTGGTGTGTTGGATGAAGGAAAAAACAAGCCCCCATCTTATCTTATCTAAATGCTAAAACTGCAATAAAAACTGTAATAAACTGGTAAAACTACCATAAAACTGGGTAAAACTATGTACAACTATCTTAATTAAAGATGCACCAGAGAGGAGGACACTGAAAGTTCCGACCTGAACCATGCGGCAGTGAGAAGAACTGGAGATGCGGTTGGTCAGCCCCTCCCTTTAACACCTTGGATGAAGCACAAGGTGATCCAGGGCGCATGAAAGGACCAACAGACACTACTTTCAAATTCTCCAACTCTGGGCACATGGTGCGCATGGCTTAACCCCTCAGTGGAACACAAATAGGGACCATTACTTGAAGAAGGTGATATTACCATCTGAAAGCTGTTCACGGTGGCATGTATGAAATGAGTTGGTAGTCTCACTTTACAGCTCCTGGTTCCCGTATTGTCAAACCACCACCTCTGTGCCTGCCATTTGTGGTCAGAAGTGTAGGGCTGAATGGGTCACAGAGACTGAGCTCCCTTCCCACGCACAGGGAGTCCCCTCTGCATCCCAGCGACACAGGTGGGAGATGCTTGCCCTGCTGTGCCCAGGCTGTTCCTGATCTGCAGATAGAAGCCATCAGTCCTTACAGCTCTCAGCCAGGCCAAACTCTCTTGTACAATCTCTTTAACATTCAAAAATTGGGCCCAAACCTACATGAAGCAGTGAGGCTAATGGTGCTCCCCCACCCCCGAGACACTTGCCTACTCTGTGAACCAAGAGCTCTCAGAGGAAGCTGAACTAATTACTATAGGGATTGATCCTTGAACTGGGACTCCAAGAATATTCCAGCACCCATACAAATATGAGCTAAGCTACACTGATGGCAATGTCTTTCTTTAGCTCCCAAGCAGCCATTGCACCCAAAGAAACTATCTCACAGCACTGATGCACCCAGAGCTCAACGTCTCAAAACACTTCACAAACAACCTTTCCCCCTGCAATGGGCAGGGCAGGTATCATCTCATCATTTTAGAAATGGGGACACAGAGGCTCAAAGGTGAAAGCTGTTGCACACTGAGTCTCATGTTTGTTTCCCCAGACCCCAAGCTGTGACCAGATGTACCTAATTAACGGTATTTTAAGTCTTGTTATAACCATGTTGGCCCCAGCATATGAGAGGTAATATATTTTATTGGACCAACTTCTGCTGGTGGAAGGTACAAGCTTTCAAGCCTCACAGAGCTCTACTCCATGTCTGGGGAAGGAAGAAGTCTGATTTCCTTCTCCAGACCTGAAGAGAGCTCTGTGAAGCTTAAATGCTTGTACCTTCCACCAACAGAAGCTGGTTCAATAAAAGCTATTACCTCACCTACCGTGTCTCGGTGTATTTTAGAATAGCTCTGTGCTTACTGGCTCTATGGCACACAGAGTTGCTCTACCCTTGCAGGAGGCCAGGACAGCCCCCTGCTGGTAGTAAGATGCATCCACTGCATCCATTTTCTGCACCCAAAACAAACAGCATATTTCGTTAACTCAGGCAACTGAAATGGTTACCAGTGGTGAGAGGGAAACATGAACACTCTTCCCATATGATGTGAAGAGCAAGGCCCAGGAATGGACCCATGCATATTCCCCAAGTAATCAGACACCAGGCACATCTCCCATGGCCCAGTGCAGGACTGCGCACCAGTGTCTATTTGTTCAGTACAGTTAAAGGACTTTCCACCTTTTCCTTTATGTCATTAAGTGACCTAGCAGTAGATCACACTGCGAGTGAGCTTTGACTTTTGCTGCTATTCAGCCGGTATTTTATTTTGCATCCAGAATATTGAGTACTAATCCCCATAGCTCAGAAACCATTGCAGGGCACAGCATCAGGGAGAGAGAGAGCACTAAAACTAGTTTACTCTGGTGAGCCTCACCCTGGCGTGAAGGGACAGGTCTGCTCAATCTGGGATAAGACATGAGGCCAAGTCCACTTCGAGGTACCCCAACCTGTGTCCTAAGCAGAAGAGGATGGGGGACCTAGCTGAGTAGATCAAACCATTAGAGAAGGGCCAACTTTGGCTTAGAATTTTTAAGAGCTTTACACTGAGTTCAGCCTCTCCTAGTAGCTTAGAGTTCCTGTGCCCCATTCGCACAAAGAATATAGACCAAATGCTGGAGGGTAGGCAGGTCAGACCAGGCCACTAAACAACGCCTTCCCCCAAACCAACTGCATCCAGGTGTGCTGAACTGTTACCTTTTTAGGGGCGACGGGTGTTTTCAGTTCCTGTTTTTGTCTGTCTTTGTCCTGTACTCCAGGTGGCGGCACATTCTGCTCAGGGGGTCTGATTACAGGCCGACCACCCTCCATTGGTTTCATTTCTGTTCCTGAAACACACACACACCACGGTAAGGGCAAAAGACCATTCCTGCAGGCTGCCAGGGTGTCTGAGTTTCCTAGAGCATTTAGGGAGTGATCCTGTCCCTTCCTTCCCCACTGTCGAGGGCAGGCCAATAGACCGAGGTGTAGACTCTCAGGCTTTCATCATGATGAGCAGTCCATTTCTCCATCTCAGCCTTCAAAGGGAAACAGACTAGCCCATGTTACACCCAAAATATACATTTCAACACTAACAGCGCAGGGGCTCCAACTCACTTTGCTGGATATGTGCAGGAGGTTTGATGCTCTCTGGGTGCTTGGGAGGTTCCTGTCGCAACGTGGGGCTGAATGTTTCGTTTCGGATGACTGGTGAATGCATCTTCTCTTCCTTTGCCGCCATGGGCTGGGATTGTACGACAGAGGGCGCTCTCAGCTCCTGCCATGTTAGCACATTGAGATGGGTCAGTCACTATCCAAACACCTTCCTTGATGTAAGTCCATCCCACATCCACAGAGCCAGTAACATCCTGAACAATCCACCACGAGGGTCCCACAATGGGGCTGGCCTAGCCTCTAATGCATGCTCATGGAGTGTGCACCATTGTGAGCATGTGCCCAAGCTACCCACACAGGTTGGGAACCCTGTGCTTTGAAAGCAGGCCCTTTGGGACCCCACATTCAGACTATGCCTTCCTTTACCTGTTTTTTCGGCTGGATATTTTGCTGAGGTGGTGACTGGTGGCCCAGACCCTGGAACTGGGGCATCTGTGGGGAATGCATCATGAGAGGGGAAGGCGCTTCCCTCAAGTGACCTGGAACAATTCAGCACCAGTCAGTTAACCTGTCATCACTATTGCTTATCCAAACATTAACCAAGGTGAGAACTCGTCCTTGAGTCAGATCGAGCGGCACGCAGGTTGAGTTTAACCCAGGCACACCTTACAAATATAGGAAGACTCCACACCAGTTTGGCAGTTTCCATAGTCTAGTCCTACCCCTCAGTACTTCCAGGTGTCACATGGGCTGCACTGCTACACAGCATGCACTAATTTAGAAGCAACTTCAGGACTCTGTCACTCAGATCAGCACACAAACAGCCATACACTTAATGGCATCTATTTATTGTTCTCCATAAGCCTGCCAGACTTGCATGGAGTGGTATTCAGATAGGGGGAACCTCCCACCAGCCTTCTTACTGTCTGGTGTCAGGTCAGTGCCATGGTTGTCACAGGCACATTCACAATGCACAAGGGCTGTAGGTGACTGGGCAGTGGCAAGTGAAAAGGATTTTGTTGGATTGCCCTTTGGATTTGGCCATGAAGCCTATGGACTTCATTCTGAGGAATGGAAAAACTCCACCCAAAACACATTCATATTTTAAAGAATTTGTAAGCTCCCCTGTGCAATTTCTTCCATTGAATCACTGAACATTTACTATTTTAAAACTCTCCCCTTACATTTCTATGCCCCCAGTCTCTCTCAAGACCTCTGTTCAGGAATCACACATACACTTTAGGGCACAGAGAACCGAGGGAGCACCTGGGGACATCCATTTCATTTGCTGTTCACTGAAATTTATAAGGGAAGTGAACTTTCCTTTTTCAAGTTCTGGTTGGACTCAGCCAACACACTAAGGCACTAGAGAGGTGCTCAGCAGATTGTCTTATGGGTGGGGGGCAACTGAATTTCACTTGTCTGCACCCTTTTTTATTTGTCTGCCCTCTATTGTTATATCTCCCTGGTTGAGTTGTAACAGCTCACAGAAATCCTATATGATGATTTATGGCAGGAATGGAAGAATCCTGCATTCATGTGAAACTACAGGTGGCGCGGGGGGGAGAGAGAGAGAGAAGAGAGGGTGGGTGGGGGCATTGAAAGAGGCAGGATGTAGTAATTCCAATTAGAATTTAAACCAAGGCACCATGACAAACATCCCTAACTAGAGCTCTTTAATGAACCAAAGCGAGCCTCAGTTTTACATTTAATTGGAAAGACAGGACTCCAGCAGCACCCTGCTGGGGGCACCAGCCTGGTGCTAAAGAGAACCACCTCCTGAATCGCTAAATGACCTGTAACACTTTTTGCAATGCCTGGGCTTTTCTTGGAGGCCTCTCCTCTTCCATCGAAATCCTGCTCAACCCATTGACATCTGAGAAGGTCACAGCCTAAAGTATGATGTCTGAAAGCCACTGACACATTCCTCTTATTTCTCCTACGCACAGTTCAATGTTTAGCATAGGAGGAAAAAACAGCACTCCACCCAACAGCCAGGGGTCATTAGATAACATATCTAAAACAACACAAAGGTAAGGAGAAGCAAAAAGAACTCATACTAAATATTTAAGACAGAGAAAAATATATTTGTCCTTCACACACAAAATGAATATCCATCTTTCTGTACACTATTATCCTATAACAAAGGATGTTAGAGATTGTAGAGAAAATATTCTTGATCAAGGGCACTATGAGGGAGACTAGGCTACACCATTATCAGCTCAAATAATCTTACGAGGGTTTAAAACATGCCCATAGCTAGGAGGGACAAGGCCCTGTCTATGTCTCAGGGACCAGTCTGAGCACTTCGCTTGAGACTTCCACTCGCCCAATCTGGGTAGAACCACTCACGCAGTCATAGGCACTTTATGTCCTTTTCAGCTGAGCCTCCACTGGAGCATACTCCTGAAGGGCTGTCATTAAGGCAGGGAAAGCACTTTGAGAAGGGTGCTTGCCAGCTGATCACTTGCTGGGGGCTAGCATACATGTATATGTTTAGTGTTGTAATGCTAGCTTGGCTATTCTGGAGAGGCTGGCTCTTTCCAGAGTTTGACTGTCACCAGATTCTAACTATTTGTATTTTAACATCTAATAAACTACTCAAGGGGACAACTGAAAGTGCTTGGCTAGTAAACAATACTTAACAGCCATCCTCCTTAACTTCAGTTTATCTCCTTTTACCAGATACTACGCTGGCAGTCATGCACTTTCAATCCTTTCATGGGGAACTTCACAACATGCCTGCCAACAGCACATGAGAACTTTAAATCCAAACAGAATCAGGAAGCCTGATCGGCTCCTGGGGAGGTGGTGATTTATGCTATTACTATGAAATCACAAACCAAATGTCCTGCCAAAGGGAGCAAACAAGCCCCTTTTCTAGATGGAGCTCGCCAACTGTACCCTGATTGCAGAACAGCTAGACTTCTGGGCTGAAATGGGACGGGATGAATCTTAACAGGGCACAGCACTGCCAGTTAGAATCTGTTTCCTAACTTTGAGCCCTACAACAGTTGGTTTCCCCCATGGATTGGGATTTAAGCTCCCAGGAGAAAAGCTTAGAGTCCTCAATAGGCTATCAAGTGATCAAGGAATTCCTCCGAGACTCAATACGTTAATTGATGACCTGTCTGTGCTCTAAGCCCGATGCCAACTCACCACCAGTATTCGCAAAGCTCAGAAGATTGTGGAACAATCCTATTCCAACCAGGCATCCACCGCCCTTAATTTGTTACTAATTTTAGCTGCGCTGCTGTTAAGAGCTTGGAGGGGAAATTTCAGTACTCACCAGTTGCGTAGGGGTCGGGCTTATGGTGCCGTGGTGATGGGTGGTGCTGGATGACTTGCTGAGGTTTAGCTGGCTGCGGGAGTGGATGCTGCTGCGGAGGTGGCTGAGGCTGAGGGATATGAGGAGGGAATTGCATGGGCTGCATGTGCATCGGCCTCTGCTGCTGCTGCTGCTGCTGCTGCTGTTGTACTGAGGGATGAGCAGGAGGCTGAAGGGGTGGTTGAGGCTGCGACTGGACCTTCACTGAAGGGAGGAGAGGAGTCTGCGGCTGCACTTTCTGCAGCTGTTGAAGGTAGAGCTGCATCTGGCTGGTGCTCAGAGGCAGGCTGTGGTGAGGCGTGGGAGGCTCCTCATCCTCCAGGAGGACCTGGGGAGGTTGAGGCAAAGGTGGCTGGGGGAGCATGGGCTGCTGGCTTATGGCTGGTGACGCTGCTGGAGGACGCGAAGGCTTAGGGGGTAGTGCTGCGGCTCGATTACTGGGTCTCGATGGCTGCTGAGGCAGAGCGTTGTGCAAAGCTGGGGAAGAAGAGCAGGAATACATGGCATCACATACAACAGAAGAAAGAGCACAACTCCCCACAGCAAAACTGCACAAGTTGTTCTACTTATTAGACCGCCCGTGCCAAACAGAGGAAAAGATGTGCCATTATATCACCCATGGAATATAAATAAGATCCCATGACATCTAACCCCGTTTCTTAATCACGTGACCATACGTCCTTCTCTAACACATCAAGTTATCCCCAGACTTGCACAGCCTGGGACCATGTGGTGCCAGCTAGGGAACCCAGGGCTATAGAAAAAACAATGACTTACTGTAACCATGTTTCTTTGAGATGTGACGCAGATGCGTATTCCACTTAGGTGTGTATGTGTGCCCAGAGCACTGGAGATGGAGAAATTTGCCTAGCAGTACCTGTAGAGGGGCAGTGCTCATGCCTCATGGCACCACCCCAACCATCCCTCATTGAATGCCCAGACATGAGAGACTGACGCAAAGTGGACAGACAGTGGGTCGTAGAATACACACCTGCATCACATCTTGAAAACCACAAGTACAGTAAGTAACCATTTCTTCTTCTTCAAGTAGATGCAGCTGTGTATTCTATTTCCCACTTAGGTGAATTACAAGGAGTATCACCCCCTGGGAGGTGGGGCTCAGCGTCTACCTAAACAAGGATTGCAGGGCAGCTCTATCAAAGCTTGCTTCTGCCCTGGAAGATGTGTTGATGGCGTAATGGTTCGTGAAGGTATGTATCAATGATCACGTAGCAGCCCTGGAAACGCCCAATATGGAAAGGTTACTAAGGAACACTCTGGACAATGCTTGCATCCTTCTACAATGAGCTTACACGCACTGAGGAGTGTAGCTAAGGCTATTTCATGTGCCGTCAATGCAGGATGTTACCCATTTGGAGATCTGTGACGAGACCAGTTGACCCTTCATGCAATCTGCATATGGCACAAACAAATGAGGTGAGGCACAAAACAGTTTAGTTCTGTCCAGATAAAAAGGCTAGATATTGCCTGACATCTAAGATATGGAAATGCAGGTCCTCCGGAGATGAATGTGGTTTAGTAAAAAACTCCAGTAAATACATCACCTGGTTCCAATGAAACAGAAATCACTTTAGACAAAAACGTGGGGTGTGGTTGTAAAGTTACCTTGTCTTTGGAGGACTGTATATAAGAAGGTTCTGCCACTGGAGCTTGCAACTCTCACAGTCTCCTTGCTGATCTTATTGCTAACAGGAAAGCGGTTTTCTGACAAGAGCAAAAAGGGACAAGATAATAGGGGCTACAATGGATGACCCATCAGAGTTGCCAGGACTGTGTTTAGGTCCGACAAGGGAACCGGCTCTCATAATGGAAGATATAGACAAAGAAGCCCTCTTAAGAATCTCATTACCATGGCACTGGAGAAGACTGATTTTCCCTGAACAGGGGGATGAAGTGCCGGTATCGCTGCCAGATGCGCTTTCAATGGACTAAGCCAGTGGTCTTCAACCTATTTACCATTGTGGGCCACATATGCAGGTCTGTGTGTGTTATGTGGGCTGCATCCACACAATATATATCTATATATAGATATTGTGACAAAGGCTAGGTCCACACTACCCGCCCAATTCGGCAGGTAGAGATCAATCTTCTGGGATCGATTTATTGCGTCTCATCTGGACGTGATAAATCGATCCCAGAAGTGCTCCCCCGTCGACTGCGGAACTCCTGCTCGCCGAGAGGAGGAAGCGCTGTCGACGGGGGAGCTTGCCTGCGCCGCGTGGACCTGCAGTAAGTAAACTTAGTTCAATCTAGGAAACGTCGACTTCAGCTACACTATTCTCGTAGCTGAAGTTGCATTTCCTAGATCGATCCCCCGCCCCAGTGTGGACCAGCCCAAAGTTCCTCCTCTACCTTGGTGGGTTCTGCGCTTATTGGCGGATTTGCTCGCTTCACAGATTCACCCTGTGGGTCAGGAAACAGTCCAGAGACCTTCCCCTCTGGTAGAAGCTATAGTCCAGGTCAATTCCTCCTGTGTTTGATCAGGAGTTGGGAGGTATGGGGGGAACCCGGGCCCGCCCTCTACTCTGGGTTCCAGCCCAGGGCCCTGTGGACTACAGCTGTTTAGAGTGCCTCCTGGTACAGTTGCACGACACCTACAACTCCCTGGGCTACTGCCCCATGGCCTCCTCCCAACACCTTCTTTGTCCTCACCACCGGACCTTCCTCCTGATGTCTGATAACGCTTGTATTTCTCAGTCCTCCAGCAGTACGCTTACTCACTCTCAGCTTCTTGCACACCTCTTGCTCCCAGTTCCTCAAACACACTTCCTCTCCTCTGGCTCCCTGGCTTGACTGGAGTGAGCCCTTTTATAGCATCAGAGGGGCCTTAATTAGAGTCAGGTGCTTAACTGCCTCACCTGACTCTTAGCAGGTTAATTGGAGTCTGATGGTCTATTAGCCTGGAGCAGCCCCTGCTCTGGTCACTCAGGGAACAGAAAACTACTTATCCAGTGGCCAGTATATCTCCCTTCTGCTACTCTGCTGTTCCCAACTGGTCTGGGTCTATCACAATATATATAACCTGTATGGCCCTGAGGATGTCACATGGGCTGCAACTGTAGGCTGATTGGGGCACAAGTGGCCCACGGGTTGAGAACCACTGGACTAAGTGCAAGCCCCCACGTCTAAAGGTGTAGCAGGTACTCCTAGATGTCGTGGGGAGAAGTCAGTTTCGATTGGATTCCACGAGCTAATGACCATACCAAAAAAGGTTTATATTTTGCTGAGTAGGCCATTCTGATAGAGGACTTTCTACTGTTGAGCAGCACTTGTTCGATAGCCACTGAACACTGCTCTTCCTCCTCATTCAGGCATGCAGAAGCCATGCCGTGAGATGCAGAGAGCTGAGCATGTGATGCAAGATGCGTCCGTGATTCTCATTTAGCAGGTTGTGATGGAGAGGAAGCCTCATGGGAGGCTGAATTGACAGCATGAGAAAGTCAGAGAAGCAGCTTTGTCTTGGCCACATTGTGGCACCATGAATGATCTTGGCCTGAGCCACCTTGAGCTAGAGAATGACCTGAGGAGGATCAGGACCACAGTGAGTTTGGACAGGGAGGCTTGACTGAGGCCCGGTTGAGAGCAGAACAGACGACATTTCCTCTTGTCCTTTGTAGTGAACAGGTCGATCATTGGGATGCCCCAAGCTGTGAAGATAACCCGGAGGACACTTCTTTTCAGGGACCCTTTTTGTCTAGGGAAAAATACTTGCTGAGATAGTCTGAAAGTTATTTTGAACCCCAGGCAAGTGAATGACTATCGGAGTAACATTCTTCTCGATGCAGAACTGCCACAGCCTGATTGCCTCTAGGCAGAGCAATCTGGAGCATGCGCCCCCTTGTTTACATAACACATCGCGGTGATATTGTCAGTAAGTATGCGAATCACCAAGTCTCTGATATGTTGCCAAAGAGCGTGACATGCATTTTAGATGGCCCAAAGCTCCAGCAAGTTGATATGGAGTGAGGCTTCCTGTGCTGATCACAGTCTCTGTACTTTCAATGACCCCAGGTGCACCCTCCAATCCATCAGGGAGGCTTTGGTAACAACCGGACTTGGTTGGCGAGGGCTGGACAAAGAGAACGCCTTGGCAAACATTCTGTGGACACATCCACCACTGCAGAGTGTCTAGGATTAGTGGAGGCAGATGAACCAGTCTGATTAGAGAATAAGGAGTAGGATGCAAGACTGTCCTGACCCACATTTAAAGGGGATGGAGGTATAATTTTGCAAACTGGACCACCTGTGTGTAAGCAGACACGTGGCTCAAATCTCAGGCATGGTCTAACTGTCATGGAAGGCTGAGATTTCAGACTGAAACAAAGATGGCGAATTATCTGAAAATGGTCATTCAGCAGAAATGCTCCTGATGTCGTGGAATATAACAGGGCCCCAAGTAACTCAATATTCTGAGTGGGAGCCAACGTTGACTTCCTGGTGTTTAGGGTGAGACCCAGACAGTCAGGCAACCGCAGTGTGGTACTGACATGAGCAAGAACTTCCTCTCTGGATCTGCCCCATAGTAACTAGTTGTTAAGATACAGGAAGATGTGAATTACATTCTTCCTGAGATATGCCATAACAATTGTGCATTTAGTAAAAACCCTGGGGGCAGAAGAGAGGCCAAATGAAGCACCGTGTACTGAAACTGGCATTCTGCCATGATGAACTGAAGGAATTTTCTGTGACTCGGTATAATTGCACTCCCGGGGAAATTCTGTGCCAAAAATTTACAAATTCTGTACTAAAAAAGAGAAAGTTACTCATCTTGTGCAGTAATGTAGGTTCTTTGAGATGTGTCCCCCTATGGATGCACCACTCTAGGTGTTCAGGCACCCCTGCACTCAATCAGATTTATGGTAGCAGTGCCTGGCAGGATCACACATGCGCAGTCCCCGTCTTGCGCTGCTTCAGGTGGTTAATTAGCGCTGTGCGATAAACTCCCCCTCAGTTCCTTCTCTACTGCAGAGCCTAGCAATAACTCTGAAGTAGAGGGGAGGAGTGAGGGTAGTGGAGCACTCACAGAGGGATACATCTCAAAGAACCAACGTTGGGCTTCGGAGTTGAAGTCGTAGCAGACGAAAGCACAGTGAGTCCAAATAGGGCACTGGAGGTTGCCTGTTGTTCTAAAGTGTAATGTTGAGTAAATGTACGGGCTGACACCTAGGTTGTGGTCTTACAGATTTCCGCAATGGGGACACTGTTAAGAAATGCTACAGAGGTCGATAAGGCTCTGGTGGAATGCGTGTGAATCTCCATAGGGCAGTGGTGGGCAACCTTTGGCCCGTCAGGGTTATCTGCTGGCAGGCCGCGCGACAGTTTGTTTACATTGCCCGTCCGCAGGCACAGCCGCCCGCAGCTCCCTGTGGCCTGTGCCGCTTCCCGGAGCTCCCGTTGACCGGGAACAGTGAACTGCGGCCATTGGGAGCTGCAGGTGGCTGTGCCTGTGGATGGTC